TATATTATATGCATCTTACACCTTTTCAGACCGTTTTTGGTTCGAATATATTGCAAAAATTCCAAATTCTTATAATATGAAACTTGCAAAAGCAAAAAAAAAAATAAATAAATAAAGGAAGTTAGTAAACAAACTATAAGTAATAAAAGTATACCAATATCAAAAACATATTATGGAACAAAAACAAAAAGAGAGTAGAATAAAAAAGATTGTAAAAAACAGAAAAATCAAAGGGAAAAAAAAGGTGAAAGAGAGGGGAAGAATAATAAGAGTAAGAAAAATCAAAGGAATATTAAGAAGTGTAGAAAAAGAAGAGAGGAAAGAGAGGGGAAGAGTAAGAAAAAAGGAGAAAGAGTAAAAGGAATAAAGAAAAAAGAAATAAAGAAAAAAGAAAGGAAATGAGAAAGAAAAGGAAGGAATACCTAGACACGGAGGAGATGAAGAAGAAAAAGAAAGAGAAGAAGAAGAGAAATCAGAAAAATGAGGAAAGAAATGAGAGGGAGCTAGGTTGTATACGGACCGAACACAGTCCAAATATAACAAATAAGTGCTAGATAACCGCCCAATGGAGAGTTTCAATTTTGCTAGAAATTTTAGGCGGCAAACATTTACGGACCGAAATTGGTTCGTAATTTACCAAAAATTTTAATTTTTAGTGAAATTTTGGTGGCAAAATATACGGACCGAAATCGGTTCGTAAATAAATAATTAAGCGCCAATCATAGAAAAGTTTAATTTTCGGTGAAATTTTCAAGAGGCAAATCCTTATGGACTGACTACAGTTTGAAAATAATTAATTAATTTTATAATTTCTTGAAATTTTGGTGGATGGATGGGAACAGCAATTGGTTATATGTATGAAAAATATAAACGGACCAATACCGGTCCGTATATATGCCTATTACAGTTTGTACATTATAAAAATTGATTAAATAACGTATATTACATGCGTTTTACACCTTTTTAGACCGTTTTTGGTTTGAATATATTGCAAAAATTCCAAAAACTTCTCCCTGTGCACATTTTTATTATTTTCATTTAAGGACATCACCATCCTCCCGTGCCCCAAATCCATTCTTACAAAAACCAATTGCGTGTACATTGACACTACAGTCTCTTAGAACCCCGGAACCATTTATTGCCTGCCTAAAATTATCTAACGATGGTACAAGATAATATTGTTGTAAAATCATGAATGTTTAAGTATAAGGTTATTAGATATAAGGTTAGGTAATGTTATTTCGGAGTCATAAGCAACTAAAATTGATTTTTTGGTTAAAGTTAACCGCTTTAGCACGTAAACATTAGGAATGTTATGGTTGAAAATGAGAGTATAACGAATTGAACATGAGATAAGCAAAATAATGAAAAACTGTAGGTTGGTATATATTCAGACCTAAATCGGTTTGTATAATAATATATGGACCGTTATCGGTCCGGATATATGTCTGTCATGGTTTTCCTAATTATAAAGATAAATTAAATTCGGTATAAAGATATATACGGATCGGTTTTGGTCAGAATATATGCACAGAATGTAGAAGCTTCCTCGCTTTTTCTTTTTCAGACCATTTATGATCCGAATATATTGAAAAAAAATCCAAAAACTTCTCCCTGTGCACCTTTTTATTCTTTTCATTTAAGGATATCATCATCTTCCTCTGTTCTAAATCTATTCTTACAAAAACCAATTATGTGTACATCGACACTATAGTCCCCTAGAACCCCGGAACCATTGATTGTCTGCCAGAAATTATCTAACAATGGTATGACATAATATTGTTACCAAACCATAAATATATAAGTATAAGGTTATTAGATATAAGGTTAGGTAATGTTATTTCGGAGCCATAAGCAACTAAAACTGATTTTTTTGGTTAAAGTTAACCACTTTAGCATGCAAACATTCGGAATGTTATAGTTTAAAACGAGAGTAAAATGACTTGAGCATGAGATAAGGAAACGAATGAGAAAGTTGCTGTTAGGTGTGTATTCGGACCAAAACTTGTCTTTATATATATTCATAAAATACAGACCAATATCGGTTCGTATATAGGTAGGGAAAAACCCTAGAGCACAAACCTTGCATGTATATATGTGGGCTAACCTTTGGTTGTCCTAATATATACGAACCGTTACCAGTCTATATATATCTTATGAAGATATATACAGATTGATAACGGTCCATATATACTACTGAGGCTTTGTGTTGGGTCTCCATGTGTATACGGACTGATCCCGATCTGTATATCTTCATAATGATATATACGGACTGATTTTGGTCTGTATATTTTGAGCCAATTGGGGAATGAAAGTCGGCTGGTGCTAGACTACCTCGAACATTTTGTTTTTTGGGACTGAGTTGGTTGTAAAAATTTTGCAGCTGGCTTAACTGGCCTTGATCCTCACAGGTTATATACGGACTGGTATTGGTTCGTATATAATAGTTTGGGTCAGGTAAGCCGATTGGGTAATGAAAGCCCATTGGTGCTGGACTACTTCAAACATTTTGTTTTTTTGACTGAGCCAACTGTGAAAGTTTTGTAGCTGGCTTTACCTTCCTTGATATATACGGACCAGCATCGGTCCGTATATACTAGTTTGGGCAGCGTGTTTAATACTATTGTTATACTAATTAAAATCGATCTGTGTATAAGTATTTCATTTAGTTCAATATTTCTTACATATAAAGGATTTAATTGATATTTAAATTAACATATTTGATAATGTAAAATTATTTTCACATAATTTATGATATTTATCATATAAAATGCTAGAAAATTTTGTTAATTTACTATAAATATATAAGTTTCCAATGTCTACTACAAATATAAAGTAAATACAATTATTTAATTGAAATATGAAAAACCTAAATATCTCGGGGTGTCCTAAGGGTGATTGTCCCACTGGTATTCGTTGGGGTCATCCCTAAATGCTGGTAAAGTTGCTGCATTTGTGTAGTAAAGGTCAGTTGTTGCTGCCGTAGGCTCTTATTATCTGTCATAAGGGTTATTTGTGATTGTCGAAAACTATTATTATCTGCCTCCAATGATTCAACAGTCTGCTCTAATTCGATAACGCTATTAGACTGTCCTATGATGGGTGGCCTGAATGGTTCCCATCTAGATGTGCTCACACTTATATCTTGTGGATGTGTGTGAATATTCAAAGCTTTTAGCCATCCTTTCTTGACCCCACTAGTTGCCCTAAGTAATAACTCACCATGAGCTATTGTAGAGTCAAATCTTTCTTCCTCTTGCCTAGCAGCATATTCAGCTGTCAATTTTTCCTGAAATAAAATAAGACAAAATAAATAATTAATTGTATTGAAAATTAAAGTGAAATTTAAAATATCACTTTAGGCACCTAAATTCAATTTACTCTTCCCTAAAAGGATGAAGTTCTAACTTTTTACCAATAACTATATTGTACAATAGTTTCAATATTATAACTAAAAAAATTTCAATTAATTCATGACACAATGTAAAGGAAAATTGTTAAGTTAAATACTTACTCCAATTTCTTGAGCCTCATCATTACAATATACAGGCAGTTGGTCTTTTCCTTTTCTTTTGTGTTGCCTTCTACCGGTGTAGACCTCAGGAAATATCGGTGGACGACCCTTGGGGTTTGCTTGTTGCTGTAAAGAAAAAAAAGAGAAGAGAAAATATTAAAATCAATATAAAATAAATTATAAATCATAATTCATTAATTATTCATTAAAAATATGTTAACTTTTATACCATTTTCTTTCTATAAGCATTAGCATCTATTGAACTGCTAGTATGAACCACCCTTGGTCCTTTTGCTCGATTAGCTCTTACAGAACTTGACCTTCTCAAATGACCCTCGTCCTATGGAAGTGGTGCACTCATATATTTTCTTAATTAATAATATGATAAAAACATTAAATATTACAATTGAAAATTAAAAAATAAATAATAATAAACACATGAATTTACTCCATTACCTCAGTCCATAAATGAACAAGCCTCGCCCATAACTCTGGATTCATAT